ACGAGATGCCAGATCAGGGCCAATTATATTACATATCTGCCTCTGGATCTTGTCAAGAACTCCAAGGTAAACAGAAGGTGCCCCAGACCATATATGGCAGCAATACTCCATGCAAGGGTGAATGGTTGATTTGTATATTTGAAGTATCGATTCCGGGGAGAAAAATTTCCTGTTGTGGCACAGAGAGCCAACTTTCCTCGCGGTGGACGAAGCAATTGACTCAATGTATTTGCTCCATCTCAGGTCAGCAGTCAACGTGAAACCGAGCAGACGCAGAGAGTTGCTCTCAAGAAGTTGACTATATGTATATATTTATATATTGTTTATCAATCCTAAAAGTGGTGTAAACTATTATTTGACTTCAAAATTAGGAATTATACTTTAAACTGTGATCTGAATGAATTTAGAATTGACTAATGAAAGAAATAAAACCACTGTGTCTGGTTCAGATTGTCCTAAGCCATCAGAAAGATGTCTACATGTGTTGCTATTAGAAATTGAAAAATATTCCTTTTGAAATGCAGATATGGTATTTTCTGGACAAATCAAAGAAAAGATTTGTCTTCTCTCTTGATCAGAGTAGTAAAGAATCTAAATAAAAGATTATATGAACATAAAAGGGACATTTTACAAAACAATACATCAAATATATTGGTTGTCCATTATAATGAGACTGACCACAATATTGACATAAAAAATGCTACTCTGATCAAAGGAGAAAATTTATTATGATGTAAATGTCTAGAGAGTGCCTTGATCGCCAGGTCATCTACAGTAAATTTGTGCCCTGGCTCAGCATTTCACCATTCCTGGCAGAACTTCTACTATCACAGTGTGGGATATACCTACTAACAAAAGTGATGGAAAGAAAAAGAAAAAGAATCTAAATGGAATCAGTGAGATTAAAAATAAAATTCTCACCATCCCTCATCCATGTGTAGTTGCACCAACATAAATTTAGTCTGATGAAGTCCTAAAGGATGAAATGCTTTACGAGAAAACTTTTTCCACTTTGTCATACATTTTTTCCCAATATTGTTCTTGATATATGAAAATATATATTGTTATCTCATCTACATCTCTCTCTCTCTCTCTCTCTCTCTATATATATATATATATATATATATATATATATATATATATATATATTGAAAAAGCCTGATGGTGTGACCACATATGCCCATTACAAGATTTACTTTTGCATTTTGAATGCAGTTTGGTAGACTATATGATAAATTCAATGATTGAATGAGTAAAAAAATTTTATTTGCATAATAAAAATATTTTTAATTATTTAAATCCCTTTGGTAAAAAGCTTTTGTTTGAAAATAGAATATTAAATTTTGTTGCTTTTGGAAAATATTATTAAAATAAAAATAATATAATAATATAAAAATAACTTAAGGTATAAAGTATAATGTTAAATGCAAACAATAATCAGAATAAGTAATAAAAACTTTTTATTTCTATTTCATTTTGCTTAAAACAACCATTAATCATAATTAAAAATATATGATTGTAAAGTGAACAAGCATTATCCTAAATATTTTTCTTTACTGTATTTTATCATATTGTGCCATATAAGCCATCATTCTTACAAAGCTTAATTTCAATGTCATTGCTATTTCTATTTGGATATTTCTGTTCTTGTTTCATGGAATTTTATACAAAGTGGAGGTCTTGGGAAAATTAAACAAAATAAGCAGGAAACGGCATATTACAAATAGCATTGCTGAAAGTGTATAAGTTTGTCTAAGTTCAATGTGTGTAGCAGCCAGGGAGAAACATAGCCTATTCAAAGTCAACAAAATGTATTTAGGTCCTCTTATAAAGTGAATTGTAGTCATAGGGAAGTGGAAGGTTTAGTGTACTTTCTTTTGCTTAACTCTCTCAGATATCCACATAAACACTTTTAAACTGAGAAAATTGTTATATATAGTGTTGTTAGCATTCATATCAATATTTGAAGATTTTAGTTAATATTCAGCCTTTTGGGTAATAAAAATAACATGCTGATTTATGCTTTAATATTGAATATTTAGAGTATTCTAAACAGCAATAATTGTCCTTAAAAATAATTGTTTATACAGTGTAACCCGGATATAAGAGACCCGGATATAAGAGGAACCCGGATATAAGAGAGATTTTCTCTGGTCCCAAATTAGAGCCTGTGTTCATGTATATATAATAGACCAAACCCAGATATAAGAGAAACCGGGATATAAGAGACTTCTTCTCCGGTCCCGACAACTCTCTTATATCTGGGGTACACTGTATATAATATAAAAGAGTGTGTGTATGTGTGCCTTGATTCATACATACTTTCATATGAGGTGTCATTTTGCTGAAATGCAATCATTAACAATGCCAAAAAATTATGCATTATTGGTGTAGTATTCAGAAGTAAATGAGACCTCTCTCTCCCACCCTTGTTGAGAATGGAACAATCAACTGTAGATATAAGCAGTTGATTTTTCCACATGTATTGATAAAGTGGAATAAAGCTTATCTTTAAGTTTATTCAGGCTTTCTGTTTTCACTACAATTGGTAGTAAGGTACATCTGTTGCTACATCACCATCAGCTGACCCAGATTTTGTGAGCCAACATAAAAGCAAAAAAAGGAAGCATTACTTTCGGAACAACTCTTATATTTCGGTGAAACTAGTTTACTACTTTTGAAAATATATGAATGTTTCATAGATTATTATGTATTTAATAAACTTCAGGTAAAGAGATGAAAAACTTCAAAATTTAAACAGATTTTTCAAATTTTCTCAATCTTTCTTACTTAAACATTTAAATTTCAATATTACAAGAAAAATGAGTAAAATTTTAGGCTAGGGTAAAAATATTTTTTATTTAACAGATCATAATTAAGACTGATATTGAATCTTTTCTGAAGATATATTATTTTGAAATTTTTCAAAAATATTTAGAAATATTTAAGTTTTCTTTAATAGAAGTTAACTACAATGTTATATTTTGAACATACCAATCATAATTTTTCATTTAGATTTGAATATGTTTATACTAAATTTCAAAAATTCAAATTTGAATATATAAGTTGGAATTAATCTTGTTTTATAATCAAAATATACTGCTACTGATAAAAAATACTAATCTGTACTGTATCTCAATAATCTGTTGTTGTTTCAGATTTCCATAATTTATTAATTTTAGGTACCTATGTAAACATTAAGTACATACAAATTTGTTGTTTTTTACTTTGTGTAAATTTCAGTCCATGTTTATCAAAATAATAAAATTATCACAAAACCTCTAGTCTTTATAAAGTTCAAAATGTGGTTTTATTTTTTTCTATATAAACATCTTTTCAACTTTTAAAAAATAATTTCTTATGTTTATGTTTGTCTACTGAATAACAAACACATGAAAAATTGTATTTCACACACTTTGTTTCAATTCTTATTAATATTTTGACAATTTTAAATGAATTAACAGAAATCTTAATTTTTCTTTTGCTTGTTTTCATAATTGTTACTAACAGTTTGACCATATTTTATCTGTCATTATTTTATTAAATAAACATTTATGATATTATTTTAAAGATTGTAGCAATTGGCATTTATGAATGATGCCAAAAGGTATAATTATAATCACTCTAATATATTGCCACTGGAAGAATGGAAAAATCATTTTCATAAACATTTTTCTTTTTCTTCTAAAATTTTGCAAATATTTATTGGATAAAAGAAATGAGGTTTTGAATATATAAAATACTAATATGTTGTTGTAATAGATACTTTTTAGTACAAAAACTAATCATTCAATTTAATTGTTTGATATCACATTAAACAATTACTTCATTTATCTATTAGCCCAAGAATTAGAAAATGTGTGTTAAAAAATGGTTAAAACATTTTTCTCAATTCTCTTCAACACAGAATTCAGATGTCTTTTTATCAAAGTAAAAAATGTAATAAATGATTAAATTAAAAGTTTTAAAAATTGCTTAAAAATCAACTATAAATGTGCTTAACATGAATGAATAAAATAATTTTATAGTATTTTAAGAATACTATTTTTTGCATTTTTAAAAATTATATTTTTTTGTATTTTTCAAAATTATCAAAATTCAATTCTTGATGTTAAATGTTAAAAAAAGTGACATTTTGAGTGATTTAGAAAAATAAAGCAAAAATATAGTATAACAAGTTAAAGTGTTATTGAGAATGCAAAGCAATTTTTTCTTTAAAAAATGAAAGCTTCAAACTGAACAGTTCTGATGAAATTTGTAAGATGATTTCAAAAATATATTTACCAATTTACCAAATATGCTGCGTTAATCCATATTTTTATTTTCTTATCACTTTATTCATCTTTGTTTAATATCTGCAGACAATTCACACAAGTTAATATTTATTACAATAAAAATGAATGCCTGAATAATTTATAGTATAAATAAGTTCTTAAAATGGATACACACTTCTATCAATCTTAAATTTGATAATATCTATGTAAGAAGTAGTGAAATCTTAAAAATAATCAATGTTTTGTATCATTTAAGTATAAAATGTTTTAATATAAATATAATTTCACTTATTAAAATTAACTTAGCAAAATACTAATGTAATTATTTGATCTTTAATTGAAATATAAAGTATATGTTTCCAATTTATTGGTTCTCCTGGTTTTAGAGGCTGTAATACTACTATGGAATTTTGGAATTTTATTTTAATTATTAATTTATTTGACATTTAATGACACATTTGATATACATTTGATCTATTTTAAAATAACTTCCCCTATCTCATATATAGTAGGAGAAAAATTATTTTCATAAACATTTTCTTTTCCTTTTAAAAATTTTAACAGCTTAACATTTATGCTTTCATATAGTTCTTGACTAAAATTTTTGTAAATCTACAGTTGAAATGCATACATTTTGATAATAAAACTCTAAACATGGACATTATGGAACTACCCATTGGAAAACAAGATGATAAGGTAATTATTTCAAAATATTGTCAGAACTTATTAATATGGACTGACCTCCATCAAGGTGACCACAGGTAAAAACAATGGTGGTGGCCAGCAGCTGTAGCGGTCAGAGTAATATTGCCTGTCAAGTTCATCAGTGAGAAACTCCTTTGCAACTTTGCGTACCATTCTCCTAAAACGTGTCTCCTTTCGGCTTTGCAGGTAGACAAAATTGTCATTCCAACCTTCAATACCCTCTCTGCTCTGTACAGCAAGGCGGAAGCTTGGGTTACGTTTGTTGCTCATCTACAAATAGAAAAACAGGAGGAAAAACCTTTCTAACAAATAAAGAAAAAATAACTAAATATATTTGTGTGTGCGTGTGTGCCTGTGCGTGTGTGTGTGTGTGTGATCATTTAGGAAGCAAATAGGGAGGTCATTCTTTGAAGTAGTAGTATGAACTTAGTTGACTTTAGTTAACATGACAGAAACAATTATTAGTCTATTTTTAAAAAATATTACCTTTATAGACATAGAAAATGACTTCCTTAACAAAACAATAATAATTATATCTGCAATAAATGTAGATGAGCTAAAAATTAAGAAAGAAATTTAAAAGAAAAGCAATTAACATTGTTGTATTTAGATGGAAGCTTGAATTGCTGTTAAAACCTTTCTTGCATTAAAACTTTGAACAAATAAATCTACAATTGTTAAAAAGGATTGTAGCCATAACTACATCAAAGTGATGATAATGATGTTGAATAATTTTAATGGTTTTGATTACTTTACCATTATTTAATTGAATATTCAATTCAATATCAATAAATTCAAAATAAAATCCTATTTCTAGTTTAATTCTGCTGTGTGTGCTCTATTCATCAAAATTCAGATAAGTTTTCTTATGTAGCTTAGTAGACTGATTGTCCAAACTTGCATTCATTTGCACCTGGCTTCTTAAGCAGTGCTATGAAAATGGATCTACTTAGATCTTCCGTTATATCACCACTGTCATATATTTTATTTATTATTTTTCTAATTTTGTCAATGTCCAAATCATCTAAAGATGCCATCATTACAATTCCATCTGGTCCTATTGCTTGGTTCCTTTTCAATTTGTTCATTGCTAATTTCACTTCTGACTTTAATATTTGATTCTGCCATATTTTTGTGTATTGCATTGTGAAATGTATAAATTTCACCTTTGAAGTATTTTTTTTCTATTATCAGCATTCTCTGTTTTGAGTTTTTGTATTCTGTCAATGTTTTTTGTCCTGTTATTTCTCTTATTCTTTTATGCATATCTGCCTTATCTGTGGTGTTCATTCTTTTGATTTCTGTATGCTTTTCTTTTTTCCCCTACCTGAATTTGTCTTTATTTCTCTATGTAACTTCCTATATTTTGGCATTGTTTTCTGTCTCCTTTTCCACATGTCAAGAATTTTATCTATCACCTATTCTTTTTTTCCTTGTCTAGTTTTCAATGGGAAGATCTCATTTACTGATGTTTCTAAAGCTTCTGTTAATGTTTCCCACTTTAAATATCTATTTTCATTCAGTTCATTGTGTCTGCTTTTAATGCTGTCAGTATACATCTTTTTCAAATTCGGATCATTCAGGAGTCTGTTGTATTGTAATTTGGGTGCTGCCTTGGCTCTCTTCAACTGCTCTAGTTGCACTCTAAGGTAATATATTTCACTGGAAGGTAGTCTCTCCTGCAGTCAGCACTTGTGTACATTTTACAGTGTAAAACTGCATTCCTGAATTTCCTATTGATCACCATGTAGCTGATTCCTTCACCTGGGTTTCTCCATATCCATAAATGTGTTTTCTTGAAACCAGGTGTTAGCTATTACTTGGTCATTCACCAGGCATCATTAGACTCATTTTTCTTCACATTCATTATGGGTTTCTAGTTTGAATTTACCAACTATTTTACCATCTTGCTCATCCCCTACTTTGGCATTTAGGTCTCCTATGACAATTGTAATTTCCTGAGATTTGTACTGAGCTTTGATGTTGGCCTGTGTAGAGTAAAACTTTTTAATTTCTTCTTCTGTACTTTGTGTGGTCAGTATGTATACAAAAAAAGCTTCCTTTTCTATTTAGCTACAAAAATTCTATCAAATAGTTGATAGTATTCTGGAACAGATTTCTTCATGTCTTGGTCTAATATGAATCCTACATCAATCTCATTTTTCTTTCCATGTGCATTTATGACCCTGTGTCTGTCATTGACAAAATTTCCATTATTTGTCTACCTAGTTTTGCATATGCCTGAAATATTAACATTTAACCTATTCATTTCCTGCTAACTGGTCACATTGATTTAGTGTTCTGATGTTCCATGTTCCTAAAACTATTTTTTGCTTGATGGGAACAGACTCTGGATGATGGTCCAGTGACACCTGTTGGTTATGTCTTTCCATACTGAGTAAGGGATCAAAGTCAAGGAGTCTGACTCCTTCACTCCATTGTTCTTTATAGTTTTGTTACAACTATATAGATATTATAGGTAGGAATCCATAGTTTATCAAAATTGTTTTCTTTAATTAGTTCCTTTTGATCAGGAAGATTTCTCTAGCAAAAAGTGTATTCAAACCAAGGAAACAAATATGAATTATATTAATCTGTCACTGGTTAATTTCTGAATTTATGAAAATTCCACATCTCATATTTCAGTTCTATGTTATTCAAAAATGTTTTTTTTTGTTTCAATATTTGCTTCAAATGATAAAAAAAAACATTATTTTGTAGAAATAAGAAATATCATTCAACTTTTCCATAAAGTTTAATGTACAGGTAAAATTTTGGTTACCCAAATTTGCCCCTTCAAACTTTTATAAGGTTAATTCTATTTCATCTGACTGTAGATTGTAGATTTTATATACTTGTAAAATCTACACTAGGTATAGTGTTATATTGTATTGAGACTGATTTATAAACTATATTAATGTTTGACATTTCTTCCAGACATCAAAATAATACATAAATTTATCTTTCACCATTTAATATTTTAATATTAATTGTGAGTAAAATTTTTTATCTCCTTCAGTTTTATAAATTTATTGTTTTTTTTTTATCATTTTTTTAATATGAATTAGGAGTTTTCATAAATGAAAGAAACACTTTTGATATTTTAGTCACAAATAAGAACAGAATATATAACTGAGAACTTTTTTATATTTTCATCTTTATTCCTATTTTTGGAAACAAATTTTATCCTTTTTTCTACTAAGAATTATAAAAATGAAGCAATCACCATCACAATCTTTAAATGAAACTATTTTAGATTATGAAAGTAGATAAAAGTAAAGAATATAAAAAGTAAATCTATAATAAGGGAACTGAAAAGAGTCTTTGAACATTTAAAAATAGAACCATTTACTTAAAGGAAACACCCTTAAAACTAGAAATTATGATACTAACAAATTTGAAGTTCTTTTCTTATTTCATTTTTTTTTTTTTTTCACATTTAAAAATATTCCAGTTTCTATTGATCTTCTCCATCACTTCCCATGAAAATAAGAATATTAAAATCAACATTAAACTGATTAATTTGTTGGTTGGGCAATTGATTTGTCAATATAAGAGACAATGACAACAAGAAATGATGATTAGTAGTAGATATCAGCTAGGGATTGGTGAGAGGGCAGTAGATAGGTAGATTGAAATTATAATCACTGTAGTAACTTGAATGTCATCAGTGTCTTTCATGCTTTGGGGAGAAAATAACTCATTAAATGAATGAGTTTTGAATAATACATTTTGTATAAAAGTAGTTTTATTTTGCTTTTTACTCAAGCTTTATTATTTTCCACAGAAAATGCATGTACATTTAAATGTTTTTTTTATACTTAATATAAAATGGTAATATATAAAGAATATACACTAAAAATAACAATTCATTCAGTAAAGAAAATATTATATTACAAACAACTGATATAGAAATATCAATCTTGTACAGTGGAATGCCTTATGGAAACTGAAATTATTTTATGATTCTACAATCAAGAAGAAAATATTCCTAGATGAAATTCATCAGTTACTCTCCACTAAAGAGGAAATATTGTTTATTAAATCCTATTCTTATGATTTCAATTCTGTTGTATCCCATAAAAAATAATATATTGTTATTGTGTTAGTTCTATCCATTTTCTCATAATATTTGAAAGGTTACTTATGATTGTTGGTGTTGTTTAAATATTTAGTAATTTTAAGCTTACATTAATAAAATCAGAGCAGTTACATGATTGGAAACCTTTCAGAAAAATAATGTAAATATCAAGACATTTTTCAGTTTTTGATTTTTTTGATAAATATTCACTATTATTATTTTTCTTATTTTATGTTCCTATTTTATATTAATTTAAGAGTTGTTCAATTTTGAGTAAATATGTTTAGAAATGAATATACAACAATAATTATACAGATTTTTTTAGAAATTTACATAAACTTTCTTTGTACTTCATTGAAAATAGTTGACAAAATTTCAAGTTAATCCTGATTGTTCATCAGTATTTACAAAATTTTTCACTCAGAAATTATATTTAGTATTCAATGAGGGTGCACTTCAGTATTTTTAACAATTTTTAATCCTATTAGTTTATTCTAACACGATACAAGGTAAAAGAAAAAATAGCATAACTAATAACAGGAGTCATAATTAACCTTAAGAGAGAAGAAATTACTTTTTTACACTGAAACAACACTTTAAAAGAAAACGGAGAAATTAAGATGGAAAATGAAATATTGTTATATCTAATCTTGAGCATACTGAAAGAAATTGCAATTCCTGGATTATAATTTTATGATTATAGCATTTTATAATAAATACAATATTCTAAAAACATTACTTACATAATTTTGTAAGAGATGACTGGATGTATATCATCTGCTTTTGTTGCTCTTTGTTTTTTTTGAGTAAACATCTGCTATTAAGTTAAGAATTCTCAAGAGATAAACACTTTGATTTTTATCTTTAACTAAAACCTAAAATATGGTCTACTTAGAAAGATTACATGAGTTAAATTTTGAACTTTGCTCATAATTTTTAATTTGTCTCTATTTTAATTCTTATATTTACATAAATTTGTATTGAATAAATTCAGTAAAATAGTTTTAAAAATATGAAAAATTTTCACTTTCCCAATGTGAAGATATATAAACATTATAAAAAAATAAAACTAAACAGTCTGCAAGTAACACATTAAATATGTTATCAAGTAAATCAAAAAATAAAATTTTATGATTATTTTTTATGCATAAAAACTTAATATAAAAAAATTTAACTAAAATGTTGATTAGTACAAAACATTTCTAGTTTTCTTTTTGTACCTACCATCAATACAGTGTCTAACATCTTTTGAAATTATCATTAAATTTTAGAAATGCTAAATTCTATATAAATTTAGAAGAAATGTAAGAAAATATTGAAGCATTACAAAATTAACAAATATTCACTTTTACATTGATATACTCTATATAACCATTGCACTAAGGGAGTTAATTGCTTATATTTCTTTTTAGAAAATATACTTTATTTCATGAACAAAATATCTATTTGTGATATTTATAAAAATTAAAATCAGACATAAATAAGTTTTATTATATTTTCATTATTTTTTTCCTTTTTCTTATTGAATGTATCTAAACAGTTGCTTGAAATTTATTATTGGGCCCTGGATTTGAATAAATTGAAAAAAATTTATTCTATTTTTAAAAATGTAAATATTAAGAATATTTTGCTGATAACTAAACTGTAAGTATTCTTTTTGTTTAAGAATTCTTTGTTGCTTACTTTCTCTGTCCATGGAATTCTCAGCATATCTGATTAAACTAATTGTCTGATGGCACTTGCATTCATTTGCATCTGGTTTCTTAGGTAATGCTATGGATCTACTGAGGTCCTCTGCTATGTTGCCACTGTCATATATAAGTTGCTAAAAATGTGTAAAAACCAGGAATATTTTCCAGAGAAATCAATGTATAGCTCACAGATAGAAAACTAAAAGATAGAATGGGTTTATACTGCATTTTGTATTAATTTGAGTGATAAAATAGTGTTTAGCTGTTGCTAACATTTGTTCAGATGATCAAAAGGATTTTGTTACAACTATTTTTCATAAGTGAGATAAAATGAATAGATATAATATAAGCAAATAAAAAAAGTCTCCAGAAAAATAAATATTACTTACTATATTGATGAATTCCTGGTAAGAAAGGGTTTGGTGATCCATAGTGCTAATTTTTGATCCAAGGGCATCCAATTTGTATGATGGAATTTCTTCTTGAAATTGGGGATCAACCATCAATTCTTGGAAATCTTGCTTACTGATCTCTCCTTTTCCTAAAATATCATACTGAAATGAAACGATTTAACTTTGATAAGTTATGTAAGTTCAGTTAGCTGTTTGTAAATATCAGGATTATTTTTGAATAAAAAGAGATTATTAAAATTTCATCATCCATCTGCGAATATCTTTGTCTTTGGTCATACACCTCAAAACATGTGACTGCAACATTCTAATGTTACAGATGTTGCCAGTATTCAAACTTTCAGTTTTTTCGTTACTCAGTCTCTTACTCAAATTGGGGATTTCCCTACTCATTTCTCTAGTAAATCTGAATAACAGACCTTTTTAGTTGATTTATTTCTTTCCTCCTCTGCTGAGCTCTTGCTGAGCTTTGCAACTCTTGGCAACTGGGATCACTCTGTAGTATCTATTGATATTTCATTACAATCATAAACAGGACCTCCTATTCATAAAATCTCTTTCTGCTATCAGCATGCTGATTGGGATTCACACCATAACTTCTTCAATACATGCCTAGGCTTTATATTCTAAACATTCATATTGAGAAATGCACCGCTAAGGTTTCTTCTTAGGTCAAAGGTGGCATAGATGCTTTCATTCCTTTTTGGAAATAACAGGTGAAACCTCACTCTTCTCTATGGTTCATGACAGCATGTTCTGCCACTATAACCCACAAGAACCACTATTTCCAGCTATACCAGTGTAGAATCAGATTTCTACATTTTTTTAAAATCTTAAATTTTGTGCAAGTTAAACACATAGAGGCTCCCAACCAAATATAACAACTTATGTATTTTGATTGGTTGTAAAATATTAATTAGGTGTTGTCAACTACATCCGAAGGTACCGACCCAAATTTTGACCTCTAGTTGACGCCATAAAATGTAAACATGTTCACGAGCCTCACCACGTGACCAAGAGAACTAATAAAAACGAAACATCGACGCAACTTGGTCTGTAGGCACTTAAAATATTGAACCAATTCACTTGACTTCATTGGAAATCAACACAGCAAAGGAGACAAAATTTATCTTCAATACAACAACAAACCTTGTCAACCATTTTCAGGCTTAACACTCACTCCCACAAAATATTCTATTCCACAAGAAGAATCTCTGGTTAACGAGCGATAACTCTATAACAATCAGTGAGTCAAGAACAATACTTTTTTCTATTTAATACAAAAACAAAAACAACTGTTTAATTTTCCTATAAAAACAAATATAGCTAACTACACCTCATTTTCACATGTACAGTTCAGTAACTCAAATTCTTTCAGTAACACACACCAAAGAACTCTATTGTGTTTATCAACTTTTGCACTATATATTATGTATTTGTTGTGTTTATAAAAAATATTTATTGTTGAACAAATTCATAATTTCTTCTACTTGATTATTTCTTTTGTTGTTGTCTTTGTTACATTTGATATTGTAAAAATTGTAGAGGGTCAGTTTTTATTTCTATTTATAACCAATACAAATTGGCTGACCCACTATACCAGCATGACAGTTTCCATCACAACAGATGTCTATTCATGGCTACATGTAATAAATGTAAATGTGTCCTCAAAGGAGCTAAGTGTTTGTTTGCTGAGAGAATGTGGCACCATATTGCACCTAACAACTTTAGCTCTTGGGATTACTGGCAGCCATGTTATAGTGTATAAAATAAGAGTAAATTTTCTATTCCTTCCCTCTTTAATCAATTTGTGGTGTTAACATCTGTTAATAAAGCTGGATGTTTAGCTCATAAATTCTCCTTATACTCTACTAAATGCATTTGGAATATCCTTGCCTAACTTTTCACTTAGAACTAAGTCCCTGTTGAGTGATATGCATATAACCCTTTCTATCATGTCTGTTATCCCTAATTTAGATTCCCACAAAGCATGTGCACCTGATGGCATCCCTGTAATAGTCTTTAAGAAGTATTCTTCTGAACTGGCTCCTGTTCTCTCTAAACTGTATAATAAATGCCTTGCTGCCTCTTGCTTTTCTGCTTGTTGGAAATCCTCATCTGTTGTTCCAGTATTAGTAACTCAAACAAACTATTCAACCCTTCCAACTATCAGCCTATTTGCTTTCAACCTCTTTTTATGAAACTACTTGAGGACATAATCAATGCTGAATTGGTTAAGAATCTTATATTGCAGGGTATTCTTTCAGACACACAATATGGCTTTCATTTCTCTAGGTTAACTGCTGATGTATTGATAATAATTGCAGAAATAGTCTATTAAGCTCAAGATAAGAATGGTGATGGTCAAGGTGTTGCTTTGGATATCTTGAAAGCTTTTGACAGGTTTTGGTATACAGGTCTTCTTCACAAGATGAAATGTTACAGTGTCTCCAGACAAATTTTTGAACTGATAGCAAAATAAATATTTTTGATTTTTTTAGAATTACTTAAAAGGAAATGAGATTCATTTGATGAGTTCATTGTTAATTAGTGGCATACATTTGGTAAGAAAACATTCAATTTAAGTATGAATGGTTCCCCAGAGATCTTGAAAACAGTAACTAAAGAAGAGGATTTCCAACAACAGCAAGGCATTTACTGTAGAGCTTGAAATTATTATGAGTGATCAGAAAGTAGCTTCTGTTGCGATCAGAGCTGTCATGTTGGTATAGCTGGAAAAAGTGATTCCTGTAGGTTATAGTTGCTGAACTAACAGTTGTAGACCAAGAAGATTGTAATTTTACCTGGCATTTATAAGATAGCACAAAAGCCTCACTTTCACACAAGAAGAAACCTCAGTGATAATTTTTTAAATAAAGCTAAAATGGAAGGTAATATGAAATGACATTATTTTGGTTGTATAGTATTGGGAAATGAAGTTGTTTATCCATTATTTCTCATCCTTCAAATATCTTTCTCTTTTTGTGATGAAATACAAATTTAAAGAAATGATACTTTTATAAGTACCAGGCTGATGAAAGATAAAGTCAGACATTGGACAATTATTATGATATAACATTCAAACTCTGAAGAGAAAATAGTTTATTAAAAAAATGATTGTATGTTTTATTATAAATTTGCTCAGCATAAAATTGCTAATTTATTTCTATGAAATTACACTTTTGGAAGAAGGTTGCCATTTTCCTTTCTTTTTTTAAAATTTTTACTAAAAACCTAACAAATTTCTTGAAAACTTCTTGATTCTGAGGACATGGTTTAACTGATTGACAATAATGTTGATCCACAAAAGTGCAATTAGGTGACTGAAAAGGAGATAATAAAATCTTCATCATATTTTAAATTTTAACATCATTTTTGCAACATTATCATGTAACAAAATGACACCTTTTCTAGTCAGCAATTGGGTGTCTTAGTGGCATATGTATTATTTCAACCTGGTCTCCATATGTATGTCCATTATTTCCTTTAGCCTGTTTGAAGGTAGCTATGATTGTAGTAAAGCACTCTTGTACTACAAAATGCTCACCATAACTTTCAAGGTGTATTTTTTGTTAATGTTTTTTATTTCTTCTCTACATCTAACCAATTTGAAGCTTGTCTTCCGTTTTTGGAGCAATGCAAAATCCCTTTTTCATACAAAAACAAATCAAATTTATGCTGTCAAACACCATTTATTCAAACTTTTATAAATCTGAGTTTTTATTTCTCTTTCAGTTCAAATCAAGTACATTTTTTTTTATTATTCACTCAGGAATGATGTGAAATTGTTTCAATTGAGACATTTTGATATTTGCTACAAGTTCTCTGCTCTTTTGGGATGGACTTTCACTAAAACATTCAAATCTTTATCATTGAGAGATCTCACTTTTATTTTCATCTCAATTTGAACAGGAGTAGAGGTTTTTTCCGGCTTAGGATTGGGTTTTTCAGTTTCTTCTAATGTCTATTTCAACTCTGATGGTTCTGCTTGAACTCTGAATTTTTTTTCACTAATTATTATTTTTCCTCTCCCAATAGGAGTAGATAGGTTCATCTATCATCAGGTTCATACTCCTCCCCAGTTTTTGAACAGAAGTAGAGATTTAAACCTTGTTTCCTGTTTAGAATTGGGTTTCCAATTCCTTCTAAAGTATCATTTCACTCTATCCTTCTAATGTAGCCAATGCTCATACAATATCACTGTAACCTGCTACCTCGAGTGTCTTTTGTGCATATTATTGACTGAAAATTAAAAAAAATATAGTCTTGTTTTCATTGAGTGTAAGCACAGTTGGTTAGATTGAGTTATAACTTAACTTTCATTTTGTTTGTACTATTATACTCCTTGTTATTTCTTTCATATAAATAAGGTAAAATTTAGTGAAGAAGATATAAAACTATAGACAAACAAGAATTATGATCACAGTTGATGAATTTCTCTACATTGGCAGCATCATCTTGAATAATGTCACCTGTGATAGAGACCTTGAAAACAGGATCAAGGTGGCTCATACTGCATATAGAATGCTCTCACATCAGGTCTTCAACAATCATGGTCTCACCATAAAAACCAAAATAAAGGTTTTCCAGCATGTGGTTCTCTCCACCCTTTTGTACACTTATGAGGTCTGTACTTTGTATCACCAGGACATCAAATATATAGAATGGTTCCAGCAAACGAAAAATCAAAGAATTCTTTGCATCAGTTGGAAGGACCACATCACCAACAACAAAGTCCTTTCTTGGACATCTCTCCCCAGCATCAAGGTTACCATCCTTCAACATCACCCCCACTGGGTGGGTGATGTGAATAGAATGCTTTCCACTAGACTCTCATGAATCATCCTGTTTGGAGAACTTGTTAGTGGCAAGAGGCTACAAAACAATCTGTTGAAAACATCCCTGACACACGCCATTATTGATCCTGAGAGCGGGGAAAATGTTGCTGCAAACTGGCCTTCCTGGCAGAGGACGATCTGAAAGGGAATGAACACATTCAAGTCCAATCACCAACATGAAGAGTAACACCAAGGGGGAGAAAAGGAATAAGAAGAGAGAATGATGATCCCAATGCTTAGCTATGAGCAGTTGTCGACAATGCAGACCCTGTCTGAAGCTACACGTTTTATCCAATGTCGTTTCCA